TCCTTGAGGAGGGCCTGGTGCCAGAGGGAGACAGATGAACAGATCGGTTGGTTGGCATCCGAAGGTAATGAGCGTTCCATTCGAGTCCGAGATTAAAGAACATGCGATTCTCACATGGTTTGATGTCTCCTTCGGCTATGTCATCTAATCGCAGTTTGGTATGTGTGGAGACCAGAAATGGTGAAAATACAGCCACATAAATATAGGAAATAGTTTTGATGAGATCTGTGATTAAGAACGCCTTTTAAGTGTTGTGTATTTAAGTCGATTTTAATTTATTTTCCTTTTTTAGTTAACCAATATTAATTTAAGGAGTTTCCAGAGGTTTTACATATAAGAAATACGATTGATGATTGAGAAACTGTTCATAATAAGTTCTTGAAGGTAATTTTGATTTATATTCATTTTGTTTAAATTTGGTTCTAAAAAAAAATAACATTTATAAAAAATTCGACATAAAAATTAGAAATATTAAAAAGCTTGGAATAAGCTATTTGGTTTTAAATTTCCCTTAAACGTACTGGTTTTCTTGATTTCAGTAATTTTTCGGTTTCGTGCGTACTCGACACTTGTTGCGGATCACCACTTACAAAGGCGATAACCAAGGCTGCAGCAGGAACAACAACGTGCCACACACAGCAGCAACATAAGCTGCAGCCCCGGCAACACCGACAACAACAAATAACATTGTCTGGAAGTTGTCCTGTCCCTGCAATGAGCAACTGCAACATCAGAAGCAGCAGCAGCACAAGTTGCCACTGGAATATTTGTGCCGACTTGTTGTCGGCCGAACGGCAGCAACATCCAAACCTGGCCTATGATGAAGTGGCAATGGGCAGTTCGGACCAAGATACCAGCTCCCGAGCTGGCCAGCAGGGAAAATTTGAGAAAAAGACATTTTTAAATGGGCACAAATCAAAGCTGAGCATGCGACAACGACAACAACGCAGCAGCAACATCTTTGGCTACTGTGGGGCAATCGATTTGATCCCCGTGGGCAAGGGCCGAGAAATGGGTCTTTGGTAGCCGGGTTTCAGAATTCAGTATTCGGTTTTCGGGACACTTTGAAGTCGGCCAAGTATAATTCTGCAGCTAGTGCTGCTGCGGGTCAACAGGTTGCCATTGCAGTTGCAGTTGCAACTGCTGTTGTCAGCGCTACACAACTGGCAGAAATTCCTAACATCCCGGGCATGTTCCGGCTGCAGTCGGAATCAGAATCGGAATCGCAGGAGCCGCCGAGTGGTGTTCTCCAGGACATGACCAGCCGTTCCCTAATCGATTGTCATTGTCGGTGGTGCGTGTTGCCCCAAGCGCCACCGAAAGTCGCCAGTCGGAAGGCTCCTATTACAGCGCCATCGTCTCGGCACTCGGCTGTGGAATAAACCAAAAAAATTGTGTTTCAAATCATGTTCGTTTGGACAGAGTACAAACAGCTTGGACAAACTGCGGAAACGTCTATGAGATTGTCATTAGCAGGCGACTATTGCGGCTGGATTTCCCAGAGAATCCAAAGAACAATAGACACACAAAGAAAAGGGAAGAGGTAATGGTCCAGAAATTTATACTATTTCACAAACTGTTTCCTAAAAATATTTTGAGATTATAAAATAAATTCAATAATTCAAAATTCAATTTAAGTATTTAAACTTTAAACTAAAACATATATTTTTAACAGGAAGGTGAGTTTTTGAGCAGCTAAAATTCATAGAACTTAAATATTAGGTTAAATAAAACGATTTTACATCTCAATTACTAAAACTATTTTTTAGAAATATTTAAACCCTTAACCTAATTAATTCATTTATATCCGTTCTATAAATTTTGTATATCTGTATATAAAAAGTACAATATTTATAAGTTATTCGATTTAAATTATTTGAATTTTCTCTTCGTGCACAGTAACTGCAGCAGCAACAAATGCCGAGTGCAGCAGCAAAAAGTCGCCAGTGGCAAACGAATAGTAACAGAATACAAGCCGTGAATTTCATTCGAACAACGTCGTCTACAAGACAATCGAAGGCGAAGGCGATGGCAAAGGCAACTCCGGCGACATCGGCGACACGGACAACGAACAATAGCCACAATTTGGGCCCATCCAGGAGGCACTTCTTTCGCGTTCTCTCGCTTCAGGTTGGTTGGGTTCTATTGGCGCAGAAAAAGCAGAAAAGCCAGAAAAAGTCGCCAACCAAAGTCGGCTGGGTCATCGAGCATTGGGCCACCTTGGGGCCGTCTTTAATCATGCCAACTGCATCGTTCAGCTTAGCGGCAATTATTGTCACTACATCCAGCGATCGGAGCCGCCGGCAAGATGTTGCCAACTTGTACAAGTTTACGCAGCAATTTTCATTTCAATGTCACCGACTCTTTCGTCAGGTGGACTGGCGTGGGATTATGGGAAAACGGGGTGAACCACGATGGAAATTATGGAAGGTAACGCTTCTAATAATCTTTAATCGTAGAAGCAAAAGACGCTTAGTTCTTTAAAAAAAAAAGAAAACGATTTCTGCCCTTTAGAGGTTGAATTGAAAAATACAGTGAATAAACATAAACAGTTTTGGCCATTTAACTAAACAAAATCAGTTCAAAGAAGCAGTGTGATCGCACACTGGCCAGAACATTTTCATCATCGGATAATGGCAATTAATATTGCTCCGATATGAGCAAAATTCCATTCAGCAACATCAAAGGAGCGAATAACTACGCTGTCATCGCTAAAAACTGTTTGAACAAACAAATGATCAACGGACTTGGGCAAAACAAAAGAGCCAGCCCCATTCATTATAGTCAACAAGGCATCTGGAAAGGGGATCGGGGAACTTGGAGTGAGTCCGGGCGTAAACAGAATATAACAAATTTTCCGTAATGACCCCAGGTGAATGGTTCCGATCGCGCGATCGTGTTGCAAGCCCATCTGGCCGGGGAATCCTAAGTTTGCATAACTCATCCCCAAATGGGGGCCAACATTTAGTGCCAGCAATATAGGCAGGGGCGGAGAGCCGGGGGCATTAATCCATCAAATAGGTGGAAAGCAACTGCCACGACGGCAATTATTCATTCATTCATAAAGAGATCGGCCATAAATAAACAAGCAAATCGACCAGCCGACTGACAAATAATTGATCTATACAACGGCAAGCCCGTGCCCCAAGTCCCACCCTCAAAAGAATCAACAGCACCACCCAATGCTTTACTTCTAACTAAGCACAGTGGTTCAAAATTGATTGGATATGACTATCTCTAAAAATAAGAAATTAATTTAAAACTTGTATGTCAAATAAAACAATAAAAAAAAAAAGATTTGATTTTTTTATCAATTGTTTTTGTTGGTAAGATATATCTTTCAATTTGCTTCATGCTATGCGATTTTTTTTTATTTTTAGTAAGAAAAATTTATGAAATGAATTATTACAATTTCAATTAAAATGTTGTAGGAATTTTATGAAAACTCTTATGAGTTATATACTTTATACAACGAAAATAAGCACAAATACTTATCATAAAAAACTAAAAATATAAAATTTATGTAATTCGTTTCATTAATATTATACAAGAAATGTTGTGAATATACCTTGAGGTAATGATTTAAGAGTCAATGTAGAACGGTGCTCTCCTGGCGTCACAATACTGAGGACGAGAATCGGCGATCGGTACTCCGGATCTCAGATATCGAACGGGCGTGGGCGGCTATATGTCCGTCCGGTCGAAGAGCAATGAATGAAAATTCTGTTTATAGACCAGACAAGTCGAGGGATTGGTGGACTGGGGGGCAAAGTTAGCCTGGAGACCTATTAGCCAGTGCGTATCTGTACAATTTCAAATTATTAACTGTGAAACTGTTTGTTTATTGTGATCGAAGCTCATTCATGTGCTTATCCAAGTGGCGGCAGCCAGCGGATTTGTACAAATCAACGTCCGACAAACCCAAAAGCCAAGAAAGAGACAGAGATGGCGAAGAATTTTGAATGGAGCCAGCACAAAAAGTGCTTTTTGTGCGCCAAATCAGAATCCGACTCGCAGTTGTCTCCCAATCGATATATCTAGAGATATGCTTGTGTGGGTGGGCATCCGGCCAAGCCAGTCCGATGATAAACAAACGCAGATACAGATACACATAGAGATACAGATGGAGATACATTTACAGATACAGATACTACAGGTGGCTCCAGCAAAGCGCGTTTCCGGCGGCGTTTTGCATGGAACACAATTTAAATATTCATTAATTTTATGAAAATCGAAATTCACGCGAATCGAAACGAAACGAATCGAATCCAAAACTCTTGGCCTGCTGCTACTGTGTGCCGCAAGTGGAAGTATCTTTGTATCCGTGAGCTTCCACTTGTGTTTTCGACTGTGTTTTGTTTTTCAAATTAAACTTTTGGATATCTGTGTGTGTGTGCATTGGGGATTCAATAAAATTATTGGGCGCGTCTCTATTCGAGCGTTAACAAATATTATTGTTCATTTTGCTGTTATTGTGATTATAAATTTCGTATGTGTTGCTTGTGTAAACAGCGACAGCAGCAACAACAGCAACGACAATGGCATCGGCAATTTGGGGTGCAGCCAGTAAATTATTGTGCAGGTGAGTTTTAAATGGTCTTATTTTGATTTTAATAACGGAAATACTAAATTAAATATAAAAATTACCAATAGCAAGCAAGTTGATTGATTTACATTGTTGCAATTGTTTGGGCTCCCTCGGCAATCAATTGAGTGAGCAATGAGAATGGATTTCGACTCGAACCTCGACCGGAACACACCCAAATCCCAGATAGATTCCAAATAGATAGATGTTTGTAGAGGCGGGCGCATATAGAGAGATATTGAACAACTTTTGCCATGGCATCTGGGGCCATAAACAATATGGGCACATGCGATTTACATATCAATGAAGCGATCGCATTGGGAACGGGCCTCTATAGTGTTCCAACTGAATGGCTAAATGTTTGATGTCTAGTTGACAAATTGTGAATATATTAGGAGCCATGTAAGCGCGGAAATGAAAAATGAAAAGAAAGTTGGTATTCAAAAAGTATGCAACAAAGTATTTTTTTGTTTTACGCATTACTTTTATGGAATTTTACTTCCTATTAATGCTTGAATTTATTTAAAATTTGTTTCTTATTTATCCTTCGCTGCTGGATTAACAACATGCCCTTGAAAGTAAATATTTTCATTGTCGCGAATGACGTAGGCAAACGGATGGTTGACCACAAACTCTAAGGGTCGCGTTGCTCGCTTTGAAGTCAATATTGCAACTGAAGATTAAAATTGTATTAAATTTTAAAACGTTTCAGAACCGCTCAAAAATTTTTAAATACCTGTTGCAGCGGCGGCCTCGGCTCCCTCTTCATTCACCTCAATGAAGGCCTTTTGCCTGACTTTGTCAATATTAACCTGTCCATTTACTAGGCTTTTGAGGTTAGCATTTCCTGAAAATGCATCTCGGATGCCCATCTAAAGTTAAACATTTATAACATGACTTTAAAATTTAGAAATCTCACTTACCGTCCTAAGAATATCTTTTAGTTCTGCCGTAAATTCGATCTTGAACTTCGGCAATTTTAAATTCACTTCCCTGGGTGGTATAGGTTCGGAATAATCGGCGATCTTTTTCTCCAACTCTGTGAGGCCATCGTTTTTTTTGGGAAGAAATACGACCATGTAGAGGCTAGAATTTTGATAAGGTAGGTAGATCACTTGGGCATCCAAAGATCGTACATATGCAGCTTGGAAAACCCCAGACACTTTCATCATCTGAACAGGCACTCGTTTTTGATCAGTTATATAGAAGTCCGTCACCTTTGTATGTTTAGGATTGAACTTGTGCTCCCACTGACCTTTAAAGTAAATAGCATTCAAGAGCATGGCAACTAGATCACCTTTAAAGTCGGCGGGAGTAACTAAATCTTTGATCTTGCCGTTTGTCTGGTCAGTCACCCACTTATTGACAGTCAATGATGCACTCTCTGGACTTTTCAAGCTGATGGTCTCGGCTTGGGCCTTGAAAGAGTCTTTAACCGCCTGATTGTACTCCGGAACCAATCGATAACTATCCGCGACATATATTCGATTCGCCAGCTTGAGAATGGCTACCTTTTCTCGTCCTTCAAGGTTTGACAGCAATTTCTTGTACTTTCTAGCCACTTCCTTTTTATCCTCGGATAGTTTCAGAGTGTTCCTCATTTCCTGGGCTGTCCTACCCTCAGCTCCCATGTAGACCATGCCCAGAGCGATTTCGACGGAGAGGGGCGAAAAAATAAGATTTTCACTTGTATTATTCCCTGCTAAATGTTTGTAAAAATCATCCGTAAATCGGCCAGACACCGATACAAGGAAGGCAAGAAAAATCAGAGCTGAGAAAAAGAGATTAATTAATTTTGGAAGTGAATAACCATCTCCACCTACCGAAACATCTCATTTTGAAAGTAGCTGTAAACTAAACGCAAATTATAATGAGTTCCTATATATAAACTAAATCTTAATCGAATTTGCTACATAGATTCGTAATGGAGTTTACAAAAATCATCGGTAAAATGTGATTTTGGATGTGTTACATAAGAAAAACTTTTATTTGCTTGAACAAGTCTTTCAATCCAGATGTTCTTATAATATATTAGTTTCCGAACATTTTTTTGGGGATACAAGCTCCCCCAGTGGAGTGAATAATAAAACATTTCTTATGTAGTTTCTTAATTCTCGAAACGCTTTACCATTTTTTACCCTCAAATTTAAAAAATTACTAATTTGAATATTTTTAAATTTATTTTTCATTAGAAATTCAGTAAATTAAATATTTGAATATTTTCTCGGCGACTCATACTTTCAACTTTTCGCAACCTCATTCGCAGAACAACTTCTACAAAACATGGCTGGTCTATCTAATCGTGCGATCGCTAATGACCAGCAAATTTCTTATAAGTAGCACTTGGCGCTTATGAATTTCATTCATCCGTATCCGTGACCGGAGTGGATGCGATCCCAAAATTGTTTTGCCCAAAAGCGGCAACTTCCGTTCGAAAGCGATGGCCAACCGGCGATTAGCGGACCCGCAGACTAAAGATGCTTTATAATAATTTCAAATATGCTGGGGCCGACTTGGAAAAATTAAAATAAAAGAAGCGAGAAAACATTAAAAAACGAACATGAAAATTATTGTCGGGCTCTCGGCCACTGAGGCCGATAAAAGTTTTTCGATAGTGGCAGTGAAAATGCCACAAACAGCTCATTACAAGCGTCAAAACAAATTTATGCAAATAGCAGCAGCCGCAGTGGCAGCAACAACAACAACAACAACAACAGCGGCAGCAACTCGGGGAGAGTGACCATATAGATATATAGCTGGAGATCGGGACTTTGAGCGGAGTTTGGAGCGGTGGCAATTAACATTGCGCCGTGCGTTGAGCATTAATCATTTTAATCGCAATTTATGTGTCGTCGACGTCGTCAACACGAGCCGACACGACAGCAGCAGCAACAGTCTTAGCAGCAACTGTTGTTGTCACACCAGCAACACCAGCATCAAGTCAAGAATCAGCTAAAACTACTACAGTCCAACTTCTGTATTATCAACTCAGGTAGTCGAATTTAACGGGTATTCAAGACTTTTATTGATAGTTTATATAATAGAAATCCAAGTAATTGAGAGCTTGAACAAAATTAAACAACTTAATACCAAAGTACCACAAAAAAAATTATTTTTTAGATTTAGTTGTTTGCAAGGTTTTTTTTTAGGATTATCTATATTTCTCTTACTAGCTAGATCAATAAATATATAAAAAATGACAAAGTTCTTTGATTGTTTGCTTCTTTTAAACATTTTTTCAAGTGATCAGAACTTTGTAATTTTAAAATATTTCTTTAAGATTAGTTGGACTTTGGGTTTGTAAATATATATTTAAAATGATTTTTCTTTAAGCGGTATTTTTGTGCATTCTTTTACGAATATAAGAAGCTTTACTGTACTCCATATTCGCCGTAAATGAGCGCTAAACGAGCGAGTCCAAGAGCAGCACGATTTTTTGGGGCGGCCAGAAGAAAGCCGGCTTGGAGTTTTGATTCCGCAGTTTTTCGGGGCGGTCTTTCAAAGCCATCGCACGCACTTCAATCCCCATCCCGACCCACAGAACCCCCTTCCAACCGCTCTGTTATCTGGACATCTTGTCGGCTCGGTGTCAACGTCAATGACGACACCGAGGCATTTGCTCCGATCAAATTATGTTTCATAAACGCTCGCATTTATGGCGAATGACAACGGCAATGACAACAGCAGCAGCTATGGAGCAATGATTTGTTACAATTCTCAAGTTATTTGAACTTTTTCGAGATTCCTCTGGTCGATGGCCGGCAATCTGCGGGTCGGGTCTTTGTAGCGGTCGACTTTTTTCCGGATTTCGTGCTAAATGCCTAATTATTTTTTATTTGTCAGCCAATTGGTACGAGGTTCCCGGTGGTTAAAAAACGGGTGAGGATGTGTAATCGATGTGTATGCGGAGTTTCAGGTAATCGATCACTGATGAAAGGGCAACGCCCCGGTTTGGGATGATCTTGTAATGAGAGCAGCTCCAAAATAATGTGGAAAAAAAATATAACTAAAGGATTCAGTTTGCTTGAAGAACGTTCTCTATTAGTTTTTAAGTTTTTGAACTTCCCTAAACCATAATAATTTGCTATTCCACAGAACAACTAGTTTTGCTTACTTATATTATTTTTTCAAACTGATGACGGCAGTCTCAGTCTTTAGGCCAGTTTATGGAGGGTTTATGAGGGAAACCTCGGCTACCGAGGATCGCCAAGTTCTCATAGCCTCAGCTTTTCCTGCAGCGCGTTCTTGCTTTTACGACTGGACAGAGTTGGCCACTTGTAAATTTGTAATAATTGCAGATATTTTAACTCCACTCGGGCTGGCTTCGATTTATGGCCAGCTAATTCGCTTTGCATGTCAATCGAACTGTACGAGCAGGCAATTTAAGCTGGCCCAAGCCAACCGGACTCGCCGCCGTTCGCATGATTTTCTAAAAACTTTTATTTTATATTAAAATTTAACGAGACTGCCATAAATCTTCGCTAAAAAGCAGACAATTCAAATTTCGCAAGCTCCGAGCGCGGGGAAAAAAGGATGGTCGGCAGGGGCTTACCAAAGGGGGGCTGCAAAAGGGGGGTATGGACAAACGGACAGGTTGACGGAAGACGACAGTGGCCACGTTAAACGCTTCGCCACTGAAATTGATCCAGTTGCAGTGGCCGCGGATGCCTGGCATCGCTGGAAATGTTTCCATCAGGGGCCGGCAAAAGGGCTCAAGGAGGAAGAGGGGGCACCCATAATTCTTGCACTAAAGGCCAGACAAAAAGCGCTGAGCGATGGCCATGTCAGCAGCTACCGACTCCGATTCGATCCGAGCCAAGCCAGGCCGAGCTCAAACTCAAACTCCAAGGCGCAATGTCCGGCAATGTGCGATTTAACCAAATGGGCAAACGGCTGGCCAGCGGCAGGCAAACTGGTCAAGAGCACGGACCGCGTGCGTCGCCGGCCTGACAATAGGCGAAATATCATCGAAAACCATAAAAAACTGACAGCACAAAAAGAGGTGTTGACACATTGATTTATCTGGCATGCTACTGGGCACAGCACAGATGAGATCCCGGACCTTCTGCATGGGGCCGCTGGACGAGGATAAACGCTTCGAATCGGAATCGGGATGGGGCGGCTGCTGTTTTGGATGGATGGATTCATATGCGAGTGCTGAGGGGTTCAGCGACAGGAACAGGAACAGAAGCGGCAAAGGCGGCAACAATATCATAACCATAACAATGAACACACTCAAAAAAAAAGTCAGCAGGCACAAAAACAATGATTTCATAGAGTCTATTCTATTTTTTATATTTTGGTTAGTTCCTGGAATTTTCACGGACATTTTTGAATTATTTTTTTGAGGGGTTTTTATATTCAAGAGATGTTAATAAATAAAAATAATAATTTTATACAAAATTTACAAAAGTTTAGATAACATAAATCTTAAGATAAAAGACACAAGAAATTGTTAATATATGGGCACTTCCAAAATGTCGCTCGGGACATTTGCACACCTTTAAAGTTGAAAAAAAATTGTAAAACAATGGATTTTAATTTTAATTATGGGCTTTTCTTTTCACTCTTCCCAAGCTCTATTTTTGGTAAAAATCTTGATTTTGTACCACTTTTAGTTTTTAAGATATCGGTAAAAAACTGCCGTATTCGCTCGGGACAAAAATAGAAGTGGATTTCGGGGAAGTTCATACAACACCAGAAATTAGCGAATTCTGATGGAATATTTGAATGCGATTTTTTTAGAATGTTGTTCAAACATGTCGCTGTGAAATGCTTTTGGTTTCACTCAAAAATTCTTTGCCGTTTTTTTTTTATGCAGTTTCAACCACATTCGCTCGGGACATGTCGCTCGGGACATTTTTTCCGACTGTTTTGTAAAGCGGATTTCTTTACCTCTATCTCTCAATTGCTGGATGTTTTGCTTTTAACTTAATAGTTTAGTTTGTGAATGAAGCATTCAGTACAGAAAAATGTCACATATTAGCACTCCTATAGGATAAATTAACAATAGAAGACAGGTCCAAAAAATAACAAAAAAATAGCCAAAAACTGATTTTTGCGTATATTGGTGGGGTTTGTCATAAAAATGATCAAACTATACTCCAAATTTGTAGTTAAGCTCAGTATCCAACTAATTAGAAACTGATATCGGGGCAAAATCATGTGGAAATATGTTTTATTCAAGTTTCAAGGTTTTTGGCTTGGTGGACTTTTTTTTGGAAGTGCCCATATATAAACCAACAAATCCTTTCTAAAATAATTTTTTTTTGAGTGGAAGACTCGAAAATAAAAACTCAGGGGGGATTTTTGAAATTTTATTCGCAAAGATTTTCGGGGAATCACGGAGAATATGGGTGAACCATATTTTTCCATATGTGTGTGGGAGCTTCCCCCGCCACGCCCCTCGTATGACAATCCTGCCGGGATCCATTTAAGCCACTTAACACGCACACACACGGGAAAATAAACCCGGGACAGGAATGAAAGAATGGGAGACTGAGAGATATCCGCTGGAGTGATCCATCGCCTGATGGGTCAGCGCGATATGTGCCCGAAAAACGTTACCAATTTAAAAATTCCAAATAAAATATAAATTGACCAAATTAATATTGGGAATACATGAAACAATTCTGGGAGAAAAATGTTCACATTTTTGGCTTCTCTCCTTTCGCCTCGATCTTCTTTCGAGGCTTCGGGTTTTTGGTTCTTGTTTTTGTTTTTGGCTCTGCGGCTGATCACAATTTAAGTTCTTATGAGGAGCATGCACATTGCTTATCCGTTTCCAGTTTTTTAGGGACCAAATCAAAGTCTTGAAAAACTTTCGAAGCACTCAAACGAATGCAGAATCAGAGGCAGTCGAAGAAGAAATCGCTGTTGTCGCTCAGTTTTTTGGGCCAAAAAGGAATAGAACGACGGGAAATGGGAAATGGAAAACTTTAAAATGGCATTTCGGCTTGCAGCTCGCTTTTCTCCGCTCAACTCTGCGGTCGAATGAGGCGACAAGGCATGAAACCGGTAAATTAAAGCAAAAGGATAAAGTTTAATTGGAAAACTATTTTTTGCCCCTCAACCCATCCCCCTGTCTTTGTTCTTGCTTCTTTAATCTGCTTACCTTTAGTTTTCTTAATTTCATCCATTTTGTCGTGGCATTATATCCACGAGTGTGAAGACAAAAGTTTCGCTTCCATTTCCGCTGCCAATATGACTGCTTGCCAATCCCGCTACCACCCACTGAACCGCCCAC